GGCTAGGGCTTTCATACTTCACATATGTAATCCTTGTGAGAAAACCTTTCATTGGAAATCAACAACTTTGACCCTTTGATCTTGACCTTGGAGTTGACCGAGTTTTAAAATACTGTTTACTTTGGACACCGAAAGCGGAGGACTACAATTCTTTGAATTTGCTTGTTTATTACGTCTAAGGTTTGACGCGGCGCCGGGAACGAGAATCGAACCCGGACCTTCCAATCATGAAGCGAACGCTCTACCACTAGACTACCGTGAACGGTAAAGGGTTCTCGAGATATCCTGTGGAAACAAAAGCGTTACAGACAGACAGACAGAAAGACGGACGGACAGACAGACCCAAATTAATATCCTCCACTTTTTAAGGACATTCGCAATGTGCCTTATCTACCGATAACTTTTCAAGATATTCTTAATTAAAGATTACATTGACATCAGATGTTCACAGGCAAAAAATCAACATGCACTACCAGGGTTTTTGGGAAGATAACAAATTATGAAAATTTTAGCTTTATTCAAAGAAAAATATACAAAAATTACAAAACATAAATTCCAGATTTTTTACCCCATCAAATTTGTTTTAGAAGAGGTGTATACATTTATATGTAGACATTTAAAGCATTGCACACAGGTCCTTCATTTAGTGGAACTCTTCAACTCCAGGGAAGAACCCAATAATGTTCAAACTATGTTGCTTATGACCTTAAGCGGGGGACAATTAATTATGATTCATGTAAACACCTTTGCCCTTGAAATTTACAATAATATTTTATTTCAAAGTATGATGACAGGCACTTAGCATCGTTTTTGAAAGTAGGGGGGCCAACCAGAGAAATTTTTTTTTTACTTACCTGAAAAAGTTGACAAGGGAAAAAAAATCGAAAATTATATTCATCAAAGTTGAAAATCCTATTTCGTCCCCCCCCCCTTGTTGCTACGTCCCCGGAAGAATGTGAGAGAACAGTTAATTGTCCAGATTGTGTTTAATTGTAGAAGAATTCAAGTTGAGTTGAATAGCTAACAAAGAAGATAGTGTACATATTGTTTCATTCGTCAAAAAAAATCAAGTCATTGCACCTCCTCCATAAAAAAAGCAGTTGTCTGAAATATCTCAATGTTTGTATCGATGAAATTTGAAATTTATAGAAATTGTTCCTCTTAGGGGATGACTATTTGATTCTGAAGGGGGTTGGCAAATTTTTTTGAGACAGATTATTTATTTTCATGCCAGTCAAGGGAGATCATTTATTTTCAAGACAGATTATTTATTTTCTTCTTTGTACCTTTTTAAATTGATATCTTCAAGTGATTATCATGGGCGGATACAGGATTTGTGATTAAGGGGTGGGGGGTGGATAACTTTGTATAGACAGGGGGTCTTGGGACCGCCAAAAGGCCCCTAGTGGGTCCAGGACGAAGCTCTTTGTAGGGACCCAGGGGTCGAAGCCCCCTAAAGCTACTGGTGTTTTGTGTATTCTAAGAGAAAAACTAAGCACGAAAGTAGTAGTATGTACCGAAGTATGACATTATTAATGCTAGTCATATCATATTTATTTGATTGAAGGGGGTCCATGGGGCAAAGCCCCCGGACACCCCTGGGTTTTGTGTATTTTAAGAGTAAAACTAGGCACAAAAATAGTGGTATTGTACCAAAGTATGGCATTATTAATATCATTATTATCATACTTTGACAATTTTAATTTTGACAATACGTCCCCCTTCAATTCGCCAGTGATTCTTAAAAAATGAAAAAAAAAATTGGGCTACATTAACATTGCAACAGTGAAGGTATAATTTTATTTACAAGAAAATTTATTTTTTGTGGTGCATAAGAATTGGCTTGTATTTAAGTGATTCATCACACCAACTGAGTGCACATTGTCGTGTAGGTTAACTTAACTGACTACTAGTATCCAGTTTGTACCGCAAGTATTGTCTTATCAACGATGTTTTGTGGTATTGGTCATCATGGCCATACATTCATCTTCTTTCTTCTCACATTTATATAAAAAGATTGCCAATCGGATTGATGCATATGGCCATTGCGTTATGTGCACAAGGATTTTTTTTATCTCATTTTATTAATACTATTTAGTTCTAAAATGGCGAGCGAAGCGAGCCAAAAGAAATTGGTGAATTGAAGATGGCGAGGTTAATTAAATTACACTGAAATAAAAAAGGTATTTCTCACAATATTTGAATATTACGGTGGTATATTTAGGACACGCAATTATTTTTTTTCTAAATACCAAAAAAAAAATTATCTTGTGAAAACGACATAATTATCTTGTGAAAACGAGATATTATCTTGTGAAAACGAGATATTATCTTGTGAAAACGAGATCAACGCAAAATATAATATTGTGCTTTTTAGTTGATACATTTTGCCTTATTATGCCCCCACTTTCCAGAAAAACTTCTCGAAAATTGTTGTTACATGACTGTACTAATGTACATCCGCCCTTCCGTCTGTCACACTTTTCTTCCCTGAACTCCTTCTACATTTTACTCAGTAGCCTAATTAATCTTTTACGAGATGGTTAGGGGTGTCATGTAGATGTGCAGTAAGATTTCGGAATTTTGATTTTGACCCGGGGCTTAACTGGGGGTCGAAAAATGACATTTCTTATGCAGAACATCCCCGTCTTTCCTGAACTCCTCCTTCATCTTACTCAGTATCCTAATCATCTTTCAAGAGATGGTAGGTGGTTCATGCAGATGTGCAGTAAGGTTTCGGAATTTTAATTTTGACTCGGGGGTTAAGAAGAAGGTACAGTTTGGGCTTTATTGCGCCTTAAAAATTTAACGTTCTTAAAAAGTGATGATATAAGCTTGAACAAGAGTTGAATATATGAATATGATAAATCATTAAAGAATATGGCATGAAGTAAGACCATTCTGAAAATATGACGTAATTAATTTGGTACATTTCTAAGTTTAATGCATAAAAGCCTCAAAAAGACTCATTTTTTGCTTATTTTCCTTCAGAAAATAGTCTCTGCCACCGTCGCCCACTTCAATTTTTGGATATATTATGCAAATTGCTTTGAAAAATCACATATCTCAAAATCTTTACGGGCGACGGTGGCAGAGTATGTTTTCTGAAAGAAAATTCCACTGAAAATTGATGTCTTCTGCAACTTTTAAAGAAAATATGGGAAAATGAACGAGGTAATGACGTCACAATTAGCATATAGGAGGTCATATGAGAAAAACGATTTGTGAATTCTTACTGCAGGGAATTCGTATGATTCAGAAAGAATGAATTTTGATTTCTTATATCACTTTCATATTTAAGAAAAATATCAGGCTTAATTTGTATTGAAACTGTACTTTCTTCTTTGGGGGTCGAAAACTGTTGTTTTTAATGAAAAATCCCCATCTTTCCTGAAAACATGATACATTTTACTCAGTAGCCTAATCTCCTTTAAGGAGATGCTTGGTGGTGTCATGCAGATGTGCAGTAACCTTTCAGAATTTTCATTTCGGTTTTTTGGGTCAATTTGGAGGTCAAAAAATGGTGTTTTAATGCCAGAGCCCCATTTTCCCTGAACTCATCCTACATTTTACTCAGTAGCCTAATCATCTTTTAAGAGATGGTACATTTGTAGGTGGTGTCATGTTGATGTGCAGTAAGGTTTAGGAGCTTCCATTTAGGCTCAAGGGGTCAATTGGGGTCGAAAGATGATGTTTTTAAAATGCAAAAAGCCGCGTCTTCCCTCAATTTCCCCTACATTTTACTCAGTAGCCTAATCATCTTTGAAGAGATGATAGGTGGTGTCAAGTAGATGTGCAGTAAGGTTTTCGAACTTTTATTTTGGCCCAGGGGGTCTAACCTGTGCCCATATTTGTTTTTATTTTTTTTTAAATATTCCATATGTTTAATCACCCTACTTCCAAAAATTTCCCTAATATTTTATGCATTAATTGTGTATGTTTAAAATAGTTTCAGAATTTGCATTTTCATGTGGATGCCAAAAAGGGGCAGGTTAAAATGGCCCCTCCCTAGCCCAGGGGCTCATGATTTGTACAAAATTGAATCTACATCTCTTAAAAATGTTTCTATATTAATCATGCTCTTGTTGTTTTTGAACAGAAGAAATTTGAAGATTTGTTTCCTTTTTTTCTATATAAAACTTTGATCCCTAATTGTGGCCTGACTCTAGCCTCTGGGGTCATGATTTGAAAAACTAGAGTATGTCTATATGACATGAATGTCCCGCCGAATTTATATAACTAATGCTACAGGAAAATTTATATAAGTGTATAAAGTTTGATGAACATATCTTGAACATTTTCTTTATAATTGAATCTAAAATATATATAAATTGGATATACGAGGGTTTTCCCAAAAAGTCGTAGACAGGGAAAACAGTTTAGTTTCGATTTGCTTGATTAAATTTCTTTCCTTGTCATAGCAAAAAAGTAACATTTTATTATCACGCCTTCCATGTTTCAGGATGATATCTCATCGCAGTACAGTTAACGCTACAAATGGAAATATCGCCGATTTTTGAAGATAAAAAATACATACTATAAGAGATGGGCGAGTCTTTTTTAGGACTTTATTGATATCAAAAAATGGTATGAGGTTTAAATCTAAATGAAGGGGACACTTGGATTTTTTATTTAGACTTGCCCGTGATTTTGACGTCACTTTGACGTCATAATGAACATTTCCCGTACAAATTAGGTCCCGCCTTCTTACTTTAACCTTAACTGTGCTGCGATCTAATTTGAAAATTCTGTAAAAATAAAGAAAGAATGTAAGTGTACACTGGCACACGAAGGCAAGCGTAAATTACGCCCTTTATAATTTCTTGATCTTGTTGTCTGCTTCACTCACGTCTATTAGCATTTAATATATTTTTAAGTGATAGACCTTTTTTTACAGGATAAAGAAGCTCTGTTGAAGAACCTGCAACAAAAACTTCCGAAAGAGTCCAATTTCTCTCAATATATAGTGGAGAAAAACTGTTATTGTACATATTTTCCAGTTCAACCAATTCATGATCTACAGCAACATATTTTTGACATTGCATCTCGTCATCGATGGAAAGAAAATATTCCCAAGGAGTGGTCCTTCTTTGAAATAGAAATTAATCAAAAGAAAGAATCAAAGAGGATTTTAGACATTGAGAATTTAACAACAAAGCTTACCGGCAACAATGACCAAAAGCAAGAGGAATTGAAATCAAAGAAGGATATGTTACGATATTACCATGACGCAGGGAAGGCTCTGTATTTCAATGAGGAGGGACTTCAGCAATATGTCGTTATTGACGTTCAATGGTTTACTGATGCTTTCAAACACATTATCACTGACAAACTTCATTTTAAAGATATCCCTGCTGCACAGGAGGATTGGAATGAATACTACAACACCGGAAATTTAAGAAATGAACTTCTAACAGAGATCTGGAAACAGGAAGATAAAAGATTTAAAGATCAGTTGATGGAAGCAAACAATAAGGATCTCTATTCCTACAGTAAAGAATATGAATTCGACTTTAAAGTTGATCCCCGATATCTTCTCTTTCACAAGGAAGTACTACTCAATTTTATGCAAAGACTTGGTTTGATAGCTGTTGGTCAAAACTCCCATTATGTTCCAAGCATGAACCGTAAGGAAATAGAGTCAGCAATTCCAAAGCTTATTCAAAGATCGGAAAGTAAAACATCTGTTTTAATTTACAGACTTAGGTTCTTGCCATTCTTCCTCTTTTTTCGTCTCGTTGTATCTTGTATGCAGTTAAAAGGTTGGGAAGTACTAATAACGGATGAAACATCATGTCTATACAGAAACGCAGCTTTGTTTTTTGTTCATGAATATTATGTCGTCCTATCTGTAACAGAAACATCAATACAGTTACAGGTATTTCACCCAGTTCCAGGGCGCTTGTTAGGAAAAGATGAAACTTACAAAATTCAGAATACTATAGAGATTATCTTATATGACATTTCTGGAACCTTTCACAGAAGTCTGTTGTACGAAATAGGTTTTAAATGTCAAGAGGAAAGTGCATGGATGATTGCAGTGGATATAAACGGACAATTTGTTAAAGGCAAATACGTAAATGAAAAAGATGGTAAAATTATTTGTCCATTGCATCCAATTAAGAATCGGTATTTCATAAACATCACCAAACTGTCAGAATTCTGGAACTTACATGGAGATGAACAAAATATTCTATAGCAGAGCGTGAGAGTCCACCGGTAATAATAACCGTGCCTCTGATCAGACGTTGCGGTTCCGGATTGCTAAGAACAATTATCGTTTAAAAAATAAAATAAAAATGTTATCAATTGAAGATATCACATTAATGTTGATGACTTTACATCGATTTCAGGTATATTTTGTGTCCGAGTAGACTATGAAAATTAGAACGCACTTCTTGTATTCAATATAAGTTGAAGGATTGGAACCGGCTTTTTTATGATTTAGTGTTATCACTTTTGTCTGCCAATCATTGTTCATTCATTTACTGTTTATGCAATGTTTTGAGAATGTCATTTTTAAAAATCTAAACAGCATAAATAAAGAATTATAAGAATTATAACGAAATAAACTTAGATATGCAAAATGTTCAGAACCAGTAGATACTTACAGTGAATGACATTCTCATGGTAATTCAAGATAGACGTGCCTACTATCGGATGAGTATCTAGATATTTCACATCTTAAATGATGCTGAATACATTGCATTTTTAACGATTTGGGGTTTATACAAAAATGTTTATATATCCAATGTCTTTGTCCGAGATAAAATAACAAATAGTTAATGTATTTTATTTCATATGTACTGATTAATAAATGGGCGCGGTTAGGGCCATTGAGCAGAGAGGGATCTTTATCGTGTCAACAGCTGCCGCTGACACGGGACCTCGATTTTTAAGGTTTCATCCGATGGACCCGCATTTTTCACTTCAAAGTACTGAGCACATTGCGAAGGAACAGTTGCTACCCATTTTATCGACTGGGTCAGTCGCGGCCGAGATACGAACTCACGACCTCCCGATCATGGAGCAAGCGCTCTACCGACTGAGCTACCGTGAACGGTTTTTATTATTCAAAATTATATTCTTTGTTTTAAAGATACAAATGTAAATCTTTGGTTGCCTGTTACAGCTTCATCCTCATCCCGGGCTTTCAGGTTTTAAACATCAGCCATGTGCTACTTATCCTAATCAGGCTTGAAACGACTTTTTCAGGTCAGTAAAAATTTAAAAAATCTTAAATTTACAACCTGAAAATGGTTTCATTCCAATATGAATACTTTTGACTTTATCCTTTTTAGGAAGTTGAATTTTTAATATTTACTACTATTTTCCTATGCAAATATCCACATCTACAATCCTTGCTTACCTTACCCAGTTGTAATGAATTGAACAAACGTGAATCTATACTATATGAGGTTGCTTTCAGATTAATATTTTCACATTTGTTATATAAAAGAGATATGATTTCCATTGCTATAAACACCATGCCCCGGCGAATTCGCACAATAAGTTGCTTATTACTTCGAATGACGCACAATGCATGAAATATAAAACAATGCATGAAATATAAAGAAGGTCATTTGAAGAACGTAAGGTAAGAACAATAAGAAAAACAAATTTTAAATACATAAATAGTTGTAATTTTTTACAAAAAAAATGTTTGTGTGATTCACACACCATCTAAATTCAAACCCAGTTAGAAAACACTTTTCCAGATATATAGATTACCTAAGGCTCCGAAGTGCAAAGGTCACGCAAACTTGTAATGATCACGCCAAAATACAAAGGTCTGTACCAAAACTCGGTGGCTGAGAGTCTTTACGGACAAGATCAGATGGTCAAAAAGAGTGAGATGGCTCGTTTCCAATGAGACAGGGTGCACTAAAGTTTGATGAAATTATACTTCAATGCCTTACTGTACAGAGAAACAATAAATATATATGACATTACAGTGCTGTAAGAGTGATTTGCTCATTAGAAATGTCAGAGAAATATCTGTCTCTGATTTTGCCCTTTGTGATTCTGTGTGATTATTCAATTAAACTAAAACGATATTTCTCAGATATAAGTAAACAATAAAGTATACATCCGACTTCCGGCGGATAGCTAAGGATTCTACCTGAAATGACAAACAAATAAATAAATTAAAAATCACACAAATAAATAAATAGGTAGCTAAATAAATAGATAAATAGAATAAAATGTCAACATCTAATTGAATTAACCGTTCACGGTTGCCTAGTGGTAGAGCGTTCCCTTCGTGATCGGGAGGCCTAGGTTCGATTCTCGGCGCCGCGTCCTACCTAAGAAGTAAACAAAAGTTAGTGATTGTTCCTTCGCCAAGCGCTCGGCACTAGAAGTGAAAGTCACGCGTCTTTCGGATATGACCTTAAAAACGTAGGTCCCGTGTCACGGTAGGCGCTGGCACGATAAAGAACCCTCACTGCTAAATGGCCCTGAGTGCCGAGTAAACGTCTAAATTTGAAGCCCTTCACCGGCATACGGTGGCTTCTACATATGAGTGAAAAATCTCAAGAGGGACGTAAAACAATATACAATCAATCTAATTGAATTATACTTTATTTTTTTCTTAATGTATTCAGTCCTTTTTGACTGATGAATTGCCTCTACAATCAACGGAGAATGAATTCGATTAAAAAGGGATGTGGAAAAGATTTATTAACAAGTGCATACATGAAATGCGAATGCAAACCTGAAAAAAATGATAAAATAGAGTTGATTTACATTATGTCCAATACTCTGTTACATCAATTGGCCTAATGAGAGACAGTGTGCTAAAGTTTGAAATTATACGCCAATGCCTGACTGTACAGAGGAACAATAAACGTAAATGATGTCACAATTATCAGACGCAATCCTTGGCCTTTCTGCTTAGTATTCAAAAATCATAAATTCAGCATCTTTCCTCGCATGCAATTTTATTGAATTTTCTTATTTCTTGTACTACCGGATATACCAATCATTATAGTTAGTCTTCGAGCACTACTAGACAGATAAGATTCTATTTGATAACAGTGAGGAAAATAGACGTGCAAGAGAGATTAGGGATAGAAAGATGGTCACAGAACATTATCCTTAGAATTTTTATGCCTTTAATTATTTTTCAAGTTCGTTTTGAAATGATGCCTGTAACATAATCATAATCAAGTTTTATTCAAAGAGGGAAAATATTATACATGTACACATTTATGTGAAAGTCTGATATAATGGTGATTCCCTTCTGAATTTACCCTTTAAATCAGGTAATGACACTAACCTTACCGATTCAATGTATAGCTCAACGCACTATTTTAGTTCACATGGTTTTATGCACAAATTAAGATCATTTTGTTATGATATAATATTGTGTATGGAGACAACAAAATACATTTTAAAAGTATTTGTTTACATTATTTGAGTTTTATTTCATTTACTAAAACAAAGTTAACACATATCATGTAGAAGAAGTTTGATATATTTATGGCTTAAAAATAAGAACTATTTTCATTTGATTTTTTGTGGATTCATGCGAATTGCAACTATCTTTTCATCCTCTCTTTTGAAGGAATAGCTCTTGGCAGAGAGTTATACAGGGAAACGGTACAGCTACTGTTACTTGTATTTACTATACATTTTGACTCTTCAGATCATGGTGATATTAGTATTTTTCTTTTGTTTGACTGCTTTGTACGTTAATAATGTGGGATTTTTCAGAGTCACCTTCTAAAATTTAAAATCATGAGAGAATCATACCACTGCAAAATTTCAACGTTTCAAACCATAAATGCAGAAGAATTTTCATTTGATAAAAGGATTTTACTATTTAAAAAAAAAAAACAGTACTTCATTATCCCACCCTTAAGAGTGGTTTTCTTCTCCAAAGTTATCACTTTTCGGCGCTACATTTCGACAAAACCAAATGGAGTATAGTAAATGAGCAAATATTTTTTTAAAGATACTCACCGTTTAGAAGAAATTTAAAATTTTCAACTACATGGTATCAAGGAAAGGTCGTTTTGTACGATTTGTAAAAACCTTTGGAAGAATCATATAGTCGAAATATCATACCATTTATTTATAAATTCTCCTTTAAAACAATACTATATACATTTAACATATTTATGATTTTAAAGACAGTTATGATTGACATGATATGCATACTTAACGATGGGCTATGTCATTGCACTGCAGTTCGAAAATTGTAGTTTTTATTATAAAAATGTGACTTTAAGAGAATCCTATCCTCAGCCAGGAAGGACGACTCTTTAATTTATAATTCAAATCAAAAAGTCTCAAAATGAAACTTGAAAATTAAATCTTTTCATGCAACAATTTTCATTACATATCTATTAATGCGCTTCAAGGTTCTTTGAAGTTCTCAGAAAGGTCTAATAAAAAGTCGAAATTTTTACCCCGTGAAAGCATTTAAAAAATAAGATATGTCAAGAAATTGATGTTTATTGTAATCTTACCACAGATACCAACGTATATCAACTTGATATGATATTAAGAGTAATTTATGGAGCTTTCCAATGATGGAAAAATCTTTATACACTTTGCATTGAAAAATGATCAAAGAAAATAAAAGAAATTGAAGTATATTATATATATAAAAATTGTGGAATTTCTTCAAAAGCCTGAATACCTATGATTTTTATTTTCAAAATGTGTTAATTGGTCGAATTTCAATTGGAAAATGCATAACAGGTGTTTTTATTCGCAATTCCTGAAAATATATTTGAGATTTACTAATGTTCCTTATATAATGTAATTAACTTGGAAGATGATGTTTGAAGAATTATTATGGGTAAAAACACGTTATTTTGAAAATTCAGAGACATTTTTGCGAGCATTTTCAATTAGTTAAAGTTTGATTTTCAGAACCTGAGGATCGGAGAACCTTAATTTATGCGAAAAACCATGTAAACTTAAAAAGTGCGTTGAGCTGTTACATTATTTTGAAATGATTTATATGAATAATTACCCTAAAAGCATAAGACTTGTGTAGCGCCTAAGGGGAAACTGTCCAAATATATACATATGCACTTTGCCTATTCCATTTTACAGTACTTCTTTTTGTCGTTTGTGA